GGTTGTGTGGGCCGTTGTCGTAGATCAAGAAGCTTTCGGGAGCATCTCCGAAAGTCCTCTTGAACTCTTCTGAGATCACACCGAGTTCACTGCGGTGAGTTGGTGCTGGGGGAGTGGGTCTTTGATTCCTCAAGGTTCTCTTGCAGGTCTCTGGATCAGGAAGTAGGGCTATCACGTCTCCAGCATAGTCTGATACCGCCGCTGCATAGATTTGCCCTGGTTTGTCTCTTGTCTGTGCTGCTCTTCTTTTCATTGACGGACGGAGTTTGGTTAGCGAGAGTGGTTATGAGACTTGGTTACTTCTGCGTGTTCATTTTGCAAGTTAGTCCCAACTTGGCCCTGGCAGTTAATACTTGACTTACGGCTGCACTTACGAATTGCATGTTTAGTGTACATGTGACCATCTAACACCAGCTTCAAGCCACCGTTGTTGGTCTCAATGATTTTCATGATGAAATGGTTACTAAAGTTTTTTCAGGAATACATCTATATACCCTCCGGAAGTTCTTTGATTCAATCAGCTGAAATCACATTTTATTTGACAAACAGAACTCAAACAGTACTCCACACGCCAGTTTGTTAAAACAATCTTGTTGTGAACACTAATTATTCTCTGATTCAAGCAGCTAAAATCACATTTTATTTGACAACATGTCAACATCCATTTAATGTGTTTCCACAATAATAGGACTTTTTTCCGAGGACTTTTTTACCGAGGACTTTTTAACCGAGGACTTTCATCCGTGGAATTTGGGATACTATTTTCCTATAATCTGAAGCGGTTGCTCCTTCTGTATGTGAATTTGGGATACGGTAAAGGCTTTCCCTTGGATACGGCATTAAATGTATTGTGTTGTACGTCAGTAATTGATATTGTTGGAATTCACAAACCTGCTTTATTTATAAAACAATACATGAATAATGTATTCTTTTTCGATTGTTCATAACATCAGAATTTTCTAATTTTCATTATTTAATTAAATGTGAACCTCAATGTTTATTATCCTATTTCTTTAATTACATGTTTTACAACTGAAGAAAATATTTCTTAAATATAAAATGATCAAATAAATAAATAAATTGACAGATTAACAAACAAAATAAGATAAAATAGCATATTTAAAAGTGTAACACGTACACAATGCTATTAACTCATAATCAAACTTTTTTTAAAATATTTACACTTTTAGAAACATATTCCCAAGCGCCAGGCGTGTATTGTGTTGTACGTCAGTACATATTGTTGGAATTGTTATTTATTTACATGCACTTTTAATGACATCAGAACGAATGCTATTTAAGAAATGGAACCTCAATGTATTATCCAATTAATTACTGTTTTTACAACTGAAGAATGTAAATGTACTCGGCTATTTATAAGATGCTATTAATTAACATTGTTGTTTCAGTCACGGCGCTGGCATCGTTGAAGATGCACAACAGGAACTCGTTGACCCTGTCCAGCCTGAGGGACGTCGAAACTGCGCCACGCCTGTTCTGATGGCAAACAGAAAACGTGTCGATCCAGAGCTATGCTCTCCATGGCCCTACTGTTTGTTTGTTTTGTTTATTTGTTGTTACGCCGCCGTCAACAATATTCCAACTATTATTATATTCCAGTCTGTAAATAAGGGAGTCTGAACCAGATAATCCAGTGATCAACATCATGAGCATCGATTTATGCAGCTTTGATACGATGACATGTTTCAAGCCTGTCAGCGAGTCTGACCACCCGGTCCCGTTAGTCGCCTCTTACAAGAATGGGTTACTGAAGGCCAATTCTGACACGGATCTTCACGGGTCGTTGTTCTATTGTGATGCTGTGCTGTGACAATGATGGTAAACAGCGATACTAGTGATGTGAAGTTGCGTGTTTGGTTTAAACGCCGATGTGAATTGCATTCCACTTACATAACGGCGAATACCACTTTGGTGAAACCTATGGGCATGTTTTGTGTGGTGTTGAGAGGCAGGAACCTAATCAGAATAAAACTGGACTCGAACCCATGATCATATGGTTCTGGCGTGCCCAAGGACCGCAACCGAATTGCGAGCTTTTGACGACTCTGCCCATCTTGTGAAATATGGTGAAAAAATAGTTAATAAGGGATGGTGGGGTAGCCTAGTGGTTAAAGCGTTTGATCGTCACGCAGAAACCCCGGGTTCGATTCCCCACATGGGTACAATGTGTGAATCCCATTTCTGGTGTCCCCCGCCGTGATGTTGCTGGAATATTGCTAAAAGCGGCGTAAAACTAAACTCACTCACTCGCTTGCAGAATAAACAGAAAGATCATTGTGTTAGGTCTGCGTGGAAATATGGTGTCACGTTTATCTTTAAAATATATCTTAGGTGCATTTTGTTTGACATTTTTCAGTAGCTGTTTTCGTCAGCTGAAACTGGTGACGATTTAGCCTCGAGAAAGATCACCTATGCCTCTAAGAGTGATATTTGTTGTATACTTTATAACCGTTTGCCTGCATATTGTGGGATAGCCTAGTGGTTAAAGCGTTCGCTCGTCACCCTGAAGACCGGGTTCGATTTCCCACATGGGTACAATGTGTGAATCCCATTTCTCGTGTCCCGTGCCGTGATATGATGTTGCTGGAATATTGCTAAAAGCGTCGTAAAACTAAACTCGCTCACTTGGTCTGCCAGCTAAATGTTTGCTATCATTGGTCATTCAGATTGAGAACATGATTCTGTTTCTTTCGTATGTAATATGCTGTTCAGGTAACAGTTTTGTGAAATCCCATTTGTAACTGAAGTGAGTGAATATGATTTCACACAGCTTTTAGCAATATTCAAGCAATATCAGGGCGGGGAGACATCAGAAATGGGCTTCACAAATTGTATCCATATGGGGAATCGAACCCGGGTCTTTGGAGTGACGAGCGGAGGCTTTAACCACTAGGCTACCTTACCGCTCCTATTTGTAGCTGGACGGAATCTCCCCAAACAGTTCATGACAAATAGGGTCTTTGGGGTAGCCTTGTGGTTTAAGCGTTCGCTCCTCACGCCGAAGACCCGGGTTCGATTCCGAACATGGGCACAATGTGTGAAGCCCATTTGTGGTGTTCCCCGCTGCGATATTGCTAATTGCGACGTAAAACCACTCACTCACTCTGGTGTCCCCTGATCGAGACAGTGCTGGACTCACTCACTCACTCGCTCACTTATGACAAATAACCTTCAAGTTAAACAAAATCCGGGGACGTCAAGGCCGAATAAGATACGTATTTGCCTTACCGCAAATGCAGACATCACTCCATTGATATCGCCCATAATTACATCTGGAACATTATACTATGACTTCTTACCTAAAATAACCTTTTGTTATTGATTGAGTGTTTTTGATACAGATAACAGTGTTTGTGGGAGTATGGTTGTTGATAAATACAACGTTATTGACACTAAAGGCAATTACCCAGAAAATATTTTTAACAAGAGAATGACGTAAGAGCGTCACATTCTGTTTATTTTGTTGTTTTACGTCGAGCTCAACAATATTTTATCTATATGACAGCGGCTTACACGTCAGTATTTTATAAAAAGTTTTGTGAATGTATAAGGAAGATACGTCACAAGCAACGTTTTTTGAAAGTTTTTGTCATGAAATAAAAAGGTGGTTTTGAAGTGAAACATATATTGTACATGTGCGATGACTGTTAGGTGAATTAAGTGAGTGAGTGAGTTTAGTTTTACGCTGCACTCAGCAATATTCCAGCTATATGGCGGCGGTCTGTAAATAATAGAGTCTGGACCAGACAATCTTGTGATCAACAGCATGAGCATCGATCTGCGCAATTGGGATACGATGACATGTGTCAACCAAGCATGAAGATCAATTTTAACCCGGATCTTCACAGGTAAGTTGAAATTAAACAAACAAGAGAAGTTTATTAGAGTCGATAGTGATGTAGGTGTTACTGATATTTCAAATATATCTGGGACCTTTTAGCAATTGCATAGATGCATAGTGATCAACAGCATGAGCGTCAATCTATGCATCTATGCAGTTGCTTATATAAGGTCCAAGACATATCTGAAATATCAGTAACTGGCTCGCTGACTTAGTTGACACATGTCATCGTATCCCATTTGCGCAGATCGATGCTCATGCTGTTGATCACTGAATTGTCTGGTCAGGACTAGATTATTTACAGACCGCCGCCATATGGCTGGAATATTGCTGACTGTGGCTTAAAACTAAATTAACTCACTTACTCAATTGGACCTTAAGTTTACAGTGATTCGTATCGTTTATAATGTTATGGTTTTCAGGTGTTATGTCTTTTCATCAAGTGTTCCAAGCAATATCCCTGATTCCTTCAAATTCCACCACATGGGTACAATGGAAGAAGCCTATTTCTGGAGATACCAGTTTTCTGTGATTTAAAAATTCCCTGCAGAGCGGCGATTCCGGGATATAATAAACTTCCATCCAATCAAAAGAAAGTTTACACTTATGTTTGATTTATAAAAATAACTCACCAAACTTCAACCCAAAACCAAAAGAAATGGTTATTCAATGGTGTGTAATTTGATAATGATACAATAATTAATATGCTTTTTAGGCGACTGTTTTCAACCTGGTAACGTTTCGGTTATGTTTATACTGTTTTGTTTGGATCAATTTTTCAAGTGTAAACTTTCTTTTCCCCTTCAGTTTAGATTCCAGACGCCGTAAGAGACGACTGTGTTATGGTTCGGTTGGTTACAGTGTGTCATTTGGGCCGGGTTCACCAGATACCTCGGAGCTAGGGCTGTCGACATTGGTAGCTATGAGATGCTCTTGTTGATACTGTGTCCTATAAACCCATCGTCGCTCGTGCTATCAGTCACTAGTTTGATGTAGCGTGAATGTTGATGACAATGGTGTAAAACAGCATGCATTCGTCCTCTTCGATGCTTCATGACCCAGACTAGAAAACCAGCTCATATGATCCAATGCTTGTGTTAATGAAATGTTGAATAAATAAACACAAGTGAACACATCGTACGTAGTCAACGGACTGAAATATTCACAACACAAGTATAGATGAACTACACCCAAAATGTACAGTTTTAACAGAAGATCTTGTGTAACGAAACACATACAGTTATAAATAAATAAGTCTTTTTCATATATTTCTTTTACCAAAGTAAAAGATTGCCAACACAAAAATAAGTTTATCTTCAAGCGTTATGGTCAATATTCATTTCTGTGTCTGTCACTTGATATAGGTAGTTGTACAGAGTACATGATGAAATAAACAAAATGGCGGCACCAATGTTTCACTGTATTTGCAACAACAAACTGCTGAGATGCGTTCGAGATTTCATTTTGTCCTTACGAGATGACCACGAGCTGCACAATCCAATATCATCGGTTCGAGGCCAGCTGGCCACCAGAAAGTAACACAAATCACAGAAGGAAGAGAACGGTCGAAACTACTTTCCGCAAGACTGTTGAACGTTCATCCAAACCAACTTCAGATGGCTCATTTGTTACATCTTGTTACGCGGTCCGTTGTTTGTCTGTTGTGGGTGTGGCAAAATTCTCCATACTCCTCCCACGAGCAGGCTTTCATGTAACAACACTCCTCCATAATTCCCCGTTTTACAATTTTGTGACCAACAGTCTTTGTCTTATGTCCAGTTGCCAAAAACGCAGCAGAGGCATGACGGGTAATAAAGATGGACGCTTTCTTCTCGCCTGAAATACAACAACACTATTTTAAAGTATGAATACACAATGCCATTTAGAAAGTGGTCAAATGTAACATATGTTAAATTTGGGATTACACTTTTCGCAGTAAATTACAGACTTGTGGAAGCCGCGGTGGCCGAGTGGGTTAGGCGGTTGACTTTGCGTGCTAGCGATTGGGTGCCTGACTCTGAGGGTGTGGGTTCGAATCCCAATAAAAGACTCAACTCAATAAATGTACTAGAACCTGTACTTTACTGAGAAAGTGCAATCCCAATATAACAAATATACATCAAATACAAAAACTCGATACATCTGAAGCAGTAACAACCTATTCAGGGGTTCCTTTCACGAAGCAACCTTTACTAAGGTTAACCTTAACTCCCATTCTTTAACATTGCACTAAGGTTACCTTAGTGACTTATGATCACCTTTGCGCTTTGTAAAAGGAGGCCCAGAGCAATAAACTGTTCGCAAATGTATTTGCAGTATTTCGTGATGTCATTTTTCTGAAGTCGAAATATCAGAAATATGACACAACAATAATACTTATACCTTAAAACGGACGTGATGAATTAGAACTATCACCAGTTTCAATATGATGCCATTTTATGAAGATAATCTTGCGAACGTGTGTTGTAAATTGGCAACACTACACTGTCGAGCCATGGTGGATATTTTCCATCTGCACCTATTACCCTACTAATAGTTGGATTAACCTTTACAAATACCCGCTGAATCCGTAGTTTATAGACATTGGAAATAACCCACGCTACCGACTGTGTACACCAGTAGTTAAAGTCATAACGCACTGGTTTCAAATTTCAAACAATGTCAGATACGTTTCCCTGTTAACATGCCCGAGCAGTAGTTGAAATTAGGACACAGTAAACACATTCATTTTATTGGGGTGGGGGTGGGTGGTGGGGGTGTGGGGTGGGGGTGGGGTGGTGTGTATTCTAGTGGTTAAAGCGCTCGCTTCTCCACATTGGTAGAAAGGGTGAAGCCCATTTGTGATGTCCCCCGCCGTGATATTGCTGGAATATTGCTAAGAGAGGTGTAAAACTAGACTCACTCACCCTCATTAATTTTATATAGCAAATATATGACATCAACTTCAATTTGAGACTAATGAATGGAAAAATAACGATATACCTATAAGTTTGCCATAAGTAACTTGAACATGTCAAGACTGAATCTGACTCATTCCCATCTCTTGTTCTATCTGTATCACAACCGGCCGAGGGCGTCAACGGCTATATTACCTAGAGGAGGCGTAGGTAAAAGACGATATATGTAGTTATTTCCGTGCTGTATGTTATGTTTTGTAATTTTCTTGTGTGTCTATATTCATTTTCGTGATGTTTCGTAATAGAACGCTATATGCGCGATGTATCGTTTACATCTATTTCCCTGCTGTTTAGATCACAAGCATTCGTTCGGTTTTTGCGATGTTCGAAATTATTTATACATGTACTTTGAGTTTTAGATATTTATTCAATTTCCAAACAGGTCTTTTATGAATTAGTTCGATTTCCGTGATGTTTCCTATGTTAGTTCAGTTTCCGTGATGTTTCCTATGTCAGTTCAGTTTCCGTGATGTTTCGCATGTTAGTTCAGTTTCCGTGATGTTTCGTATGTTAGTTCAGTTTCCGTGATGTTTCGCATGTCAGTTCAGTTTCCGTGATGTTTCCTATGTCAGTTCAGTTTCCGTGATGTTTCGCATGTCAGTTCAGTTTCCGTGATGTTTCGTATGTCAGTTCAGTTTCCGTGATGTTTCGTATGTTAGTTCAATTTCCGTGATGTTTCGTATGTTAGTTCAGTTTCCGTGATGTTTCGCATGTCAGTTCAGTTTCCGTGATGTTTCGTATGTTAGTTCAATTTTCGTGATGCTTCGTATGTTAGTTCAATTTCCATGAAGTTTCCTTTGGTTGTTCAATTTCCGTGATGTTTCATATATTAGTTCGATTTCCGTGATTGTCCCGTACACAGGTTAAATTTTAACATTTCGTATAATAATTACTTTGATTTTCATGATGTTTCGTTCACAAAAGAAACGTATGACAACATCTTAGTTCAATCGACCTTTGCTTCAGTTCTCGACTTTCCGACGTTAACGTTCAGTATGAAATGAAGTTCGTTCTCTTAAGCGCTTCTCGCATGCTTCAGTTCTCGACTTAACCAAGACGTTTTATAGTGAAGACGTTAGCATGACGTTCTGACTCCGAGAGTCAGACAGGAGACAACTACTATCAGATACACATGTATATAGATAGACACATGCAAATGAACTAACTCCAACTTCTTCCATAGAAAGGTCAGTGATATGTAGTTTCCAAGACCTTGCATTAGTAAATAGGACATTCATCGTGTCAGGTGGCAGCACGTCTCCACAACGACACTCCACGTTGTTGTATATCGAAAGGAGATGCCAAGAAGCCGTCAAATATGCAAATATATTCAAAATCTTATTTTGCTGCGCATGTAAAGTCTCCGGAGATTTAGAAGACTAGTATCAGTACACTTTATAATATTTCGGTTTCCGAGAAAGACGATTGCCATGTGTCTGTCGGGCTTAACGTCAAGCGAACATCGAAGCGATAAGTAAAGAATTTGATTACCCTGGTGTGTATAATTTGTATATTTGTTGAGCATCTTTATATTCACATAAACTGAGGGTCAAAAGAAAGTATACAAAGTTTGTTCTGAACGTAACTGCAAATCGAAAGAAGTGTTGTATATATTCAAAAGTCTTTGCCTACATGCTGTACTATTAGCGATTAGGCACATATACGATTAAAACTGTATGTCTGCCATTGTTAAGTTTGTTTAGGAAACGAACACTGCAAGGCTTTGTAAGAATAATCTGTTTCCTATATTATTTCAATTTCTTTGATGTTTCCTGTTCCTGGGTAGTTTTGTGTTCGACATAATTATACTGGTGACAAAAAGACTTACGTTAAAATATATTTCATCCCCTATCATGTTTCAAATTTTGGTTTTGAAGTTTCAAAAAATAATAAAACAAATCAAATCAAAATAATAAAAACACATAGAAGTTTTCTTTGAGTGATGACTAATATAAAATATCGCTAACGTAATATTTTTCTTATTTGAAACTGAAACATATTAGAGGTCAAATTTCTTTTGTTCTCTGCTTATCATGTCCTCTTTGTCAGGGATACTCCTGGATTAAGAGCGAAAGTGTGTTGTTTCAAAGGGAGGTAGTTCTGTTTAACGGGAGAGTGGGTTGTTGTGGTGTATTTGGGTGTGGGTGTGGGTGTGGGTGTAGGCGTGGGTGTATTTTTCTGGCAGAAGCAATCCTATTGTATCAAAGTCGTATTATTGGCGGGCGTAATTGTGATGTAGTGTAGTGGTGAATGTAATCATGTTGTATCTGAGGGTGTCATCGTGTTGTATCGGTGGGTGTAGTCATGTTGTATTGTAGGGTGTATCTGAGTTGTATTTTTGTCGGGCGTGTGGGGTTTGTACTGAAGGGTGTGTTTATTTTGTATTGAAGAATGTGGTTGTGTTGTATTAGAGAATGTGGTTGTGCTGTATTAGAGAATGTGGTTGTGCTGTATTAGAGAATGCGGTTGTGCTGTATTAGAGAATGCGGTTGTGCTGTATTAGAGAATGTGGTTGTGTTGTATTGGAGGGTGTGGTTGTGTTGTATTGCGGTGTGTGGTTGTGTTGTATTGGAGGGTGTGGTTGTGTTGTATTGCGGGTGTGGTTGTGTTGTATTGGAGGTGGTTGTGTTGTGGTTGTGTGCTGTATTGGAGAACGTGGTTGTGTTGTATTGTGTTGTGTTGTATTGGAGGAGTATGTGGTTGTGCTGTATTAGAGAGGTGTGTATTGTGGCTGTGTGTTGTATTGGAGGTGGGTGTGTTGTACCGGAGTTGTGTTGTGTATTGGAGGGTGTGTTGTGTTGTTGTGGAGTGGTGTGGTTGTGCTGTATTGGAGAACGTGGTTGTGTTGTATTGGAGGTGTGGTTGTGTTGTATTGGAGGGTGTTGTGTGTATTGTTGTTGTGTGTATTGTGGTTGTGTTGTATTGGAGAACGTGTGTGTGTATGTGGTTGTGTTGTATTGGTGTGTGGTTGTGTTGTATTGGAGGGTGTGGTTGTGTTGTACTGTATTGGAGGGTGTGGTTGTGTTGTATTGGAGGTGTGGTTGTGTTGTATTGGAGGGTGTGGTTGTGTTGTATTGTATTAGGGGTGTGGTGTTTGTGTTGTATTGGAGGGTGTGGTTGTGTTGTATTGGAGGTGTGTTGGTTGTGTTGTATTGGAGGTGGTTGTGTGTATTGTGTGGTTGTGTTGTATTGGAGGGTGTGTGTGTTGTGTTGTATTGGAGGGTGTGGTTGTGTTGTATTGTGAGAGTGTGGTTGTGTTGTATTGGAGAATGTGGTTGTGTTGTACTGGAGGTGTGTGTTGTGTTGTATTGGGAGGGGTGTGGTTGTGTTGTATTGGACTGGTTGTGTATGTATTGTGTGGTTGTGTTGTATTGGGAGGGTGTGGTTGTGCTTGTATTGTTGTATTGGAGAATGTGGTTGTGTTGTATTGGAGGGAGGGTCGTGGTTGTGTTGTACTGGAGGATGTGGTTGTGCTGTATTAGAGAATGTGGTTGTGTGTTGTATTGAGAGAATGTGGTTGTGTTGTATTGGAGGAGTGTGGTTGTGTTGTATTGGAGGAGTGTGGTTGTGTTGTATTGGAGGGTGTATGGAGTGTGTATTGTGGTTGTGTTGTATTAGAGAGGTGTGGTTGTGTTGTATTGGAGTGTTGGTTGTGTTGTAGGTGTGTGTGTTGTACTGGAGGGTGTGTGTGTTGTACTGGAGGGTGTGATGTGTGGTGTGGTTGTGTTGTATTGGAGGGTGTGGTTGTGCTGTATTGGAGAGAATGTGGTTGTGTTGTACTGGAGGGTGTGGTTGTGTTGTATTGGAGGGTGTGGTTGTGTTGTATTGGAGGGTGTGGTTGTGTTGTATTGGAGGGTGTGGTTGTGTTGTATTGGAGTGTGTGGTTGTGTTGTACTGTATTGGAGGGTGTGGTTGTGTTGTGTATTATTGAGGGTGTGGTCGTGTTGTACCAGGTGTGTGTTTGTACTGTGTTTGTAATGGAGGGTGTGGTTTTGTATTGGAGGGTTTAGCTGGAGTGTGTGTGTGTTGTACTGGAGAGTGTGTGGTTGTGTTGTATTGGAGGGTGTGGTTGTGTTGTACTGGAGGGTGTGGTTATGTTTTAAAAGAGGGTATGAATACGTGTTGTATCGGAGGGTGTCAATGTGTTGTATTGGCGTATAGAGTTTTCGTAATGGAGGGAGTCGGGCAGCCGCGTTTGCCTAGTGGACAGAATGGTCTTGTGCAACACTGTTTAAATGGACGGATATTTTTGTCCTTGGACATTCTCACAGATGAACTGGACACAGAAACATGCAACTTACTGTCGCCATCATGGTCACTGACGTGCTTCCTCACTACCGTGCTGTTCACAGAACGCTTTGAGATTATTTTGTAGGGGTCGTAGCTGCAAGCGAGGTTAATATGTTCTATCAGCTGGGCCCGACAACGTCGGTGACAGTCGGTGTGCCACAGGTCGTAGAGTTCTTCCCCTGACAAGCTACGGAATCTGGAACAGACATGTACGACAACATTGTAACATCGTGCTTAAGAAGTCAGTAGAAATATTGACACATGTCATCGTACCCCAGTTGCGTAGAACGATGATCATGCTGTAGATCACGTATATCACTTAACCGGGTTAGAAGATTGATCTTCAGTAACCCATGCTTGTCGTAAGAAGCGACTAACGGGATCGGGAGGTCAGGCTCGCTGGCTTGGTTGACACGTGTCATCGGTTCCCAATTGCGCAGATCGATGCTCATGCTGTTGATCACTGGATTGTCTGGTCCAGACTCGATTATTTACAGACCTCCGCCATATAGCTGGAATATTGCTGAGTGCGGCGTAAAACCTAAACTCACTCACAATTGAAGCGCCTACACACTGTTGATAACAGACAAATGTCCAGTTAAAATGAATTCTATACATATTATCTTCCTCTACTTTACCTAACCAAAATCTGGCAAATATATTTTCACTGTTTTATTCACGATGGGAAACTTGCTTGAAAAAGCAGATAATTGTTTCTTCTTGAAGGTTCAAATCAATATGTCTTTAAACAGATAATGGTATTTATTTGCCAGATTCGGTGAAACAATACAAATTGTATTGACAGAAAATTGAATTCGGATTTATCAAAGAAATTAGGCCAAGGCCATCTGTTAGATTCGGCCATCTTCCTTTGAACTTGCCTATAATCTGTAAATAACCAAGCTGTATTACAATGGACTTAAATGCATGTTGTACTTGTAAATGTTTAAAAGGTGTTCAAAATAGAAATGACTGTGGATTGCATTAGTGAATGTAAGAAATGAAATGTCTAAGGCACTTTTGGGTAGAACCCCACGAGTCTTTGGAAAACCTTGCATGTGATCTGAAACAGTGATATACATTGATGGTACAAAACCTTGTTGCCAGGATATTGCGCTCATATCAGTGAATAAGTGAAGTTTATCTTGCATTCAGATCGCATCCAGATCGCTTTCAACAGCACAGCCTATTGTCCTATACCAGCGCAGATGAGAGAGTGGGTGAGTGAAGTGACTGAATTATGAGTGAGTAGTTTTACGCCGCTTTTAGCAATATTCCAGCAATACCACGGCGGGGGACACCAGAAATGAGCTTCACACATTGTACCCAGAGTGAATGATGATGAAGTGATTGATGAAGTGCGTGATGATGTGAGTGATTGATGAAGTTAGTGATAAAGTGAGTGAGTGAATGATGACATGAGTGAAAAAGAGAGTTAATGATGACGTGAGTTGGTGAGTGAGTGAATGATGAAGTGAATGATGAAGTTAGTGAGTGCATGAAGTAAGCAAGTAAATGAGTGAACGATGAAGTGCGTGATGAAGTGAATGACTGAATGAGTGATTGACTAAGTGACTAAGTGAGTGAGTAATGAAGTGATTGATATGGCTGAATGAGTGATGAAGTGAGTGAGTGACTGATGAAATTCGTGATGAAGGGAGGGAAGGATGAAATAAGTGACTGAGTGAATGAGGGACAGATGAAGTAAGTGAATGAGGTGATTGATTGACTGAGCGAGTAATGAAGTGGAACAGTACTACAGCCATAGAGCAGCATAACAGGGAGGAACCCCATGACGAAATAATGCGGAAGTTTACTTGTTCGATGAAATACACGAAGACAGAGCGGGTTCATGTATATAATTCTAAGTGCGCTCCAGTTTAGCAAACATTGGCCAGAACACGTATTGTTTCTTGTTGGCAGTACACTTAACCTTGAACAGTGGTCACCTTTAGGAACCTGCTATCTGAACGTGACGTCATTGGCTCTCTCAAAGAACAGAAGCCTTCTGTTATAATATCATGCTGTTATCACATCGCGGAAAGGAATTTGGGAAGCAAGATATTATCATTTTGTAAACTGATAAGCAAATAAATATTTGCTCAGGTTCCTTCACCTACTCTTGGAAACAAAAACTTGGTTCGTTTCCTGTAGAATTAAACGTTGCTATGGATTTGGGTCAAGGTAAAACTAATATTACCATGGCGATTCCACGTGGGTAATATCAATAAGAGCAACACTATTGGTTAGGTTACTACAGGCTAACAATATAAAATGTGATCTTTGACCAGTTTGAATATATAGTTTAGACACACAAGCGTAATGAGACACGCTTTAGGGTTTAAACTAGACTAGCAAATAATCTATTAAATCATTTCTAGAAATTCATTGTAAAATACTTTTTTCAATGGAACCTTTTCTCCTCTGTTGCGCACAGTCGACCCCAAAACAACAACCCCAAAACAACAACCCCAAAACAACAACCCCAAAACAACAACCCCAAAACAACAACCCCAAAACAACAACCCCAAAACAACAACCCCAAAACAACAACCCCAAAACAACAACCCCAAAACAACAACCCCAAAACAACAACCCCAAAACAACAACCCCAAAACAACAACCCCAAAACAACAACCCCAAAACAACAACCCCAAAACAACAACCCCAAAACAACAACCCCAAAACAACAACCCCAAAACAACAACCCCAAAACAACAACCCCAAAACAACAACCCCAAAACAACAACCCCAAAACAACAACCCCAAAACAACAACCCCAAAACAACAACCCCAAAACAACAACCCCAAAACAACAACCCCAAAACAACAACCCCAAAACAACAACCCCAAAACAACAACCCCAAAACAACAACCCCAAAACAACAACCCCAAAACAACAACCCCAAAACAACAACCCCAAAACAACAACCCCAAAACACAAAACCCCCAAAACAACAACCCAAAACCAAAACCAAAACAAAACCAAAACAATTTTTTTTAAAAAAACCCCCAAAAACCATCAAATAAGCAAAACAAAAAAATCCTAAAAGAATGTCCGGAATCGTGCCAGCAGAAACAATCACAGAGGCGTTCCTGCACGTCGTTATAGAAGTGCAATGATTTTGAAGACTAACTTTACCATCATCTCCCGTCTATCATTGCTTAACGCTGTTTAAGCTTTACCAAGTCATAAAGTCAGGACTCGCCATTCCTCGTAAGACAAAAACCCAATCATATATCAAGAAAGTTTTAATTATAGATATATACTTCTTAATCTGATATCTCAATTTGTAAGGAGAGAAATCACCAGTGAATAATGTTACTTCTAAAAATATTGGCTGTGTCCTCCTTGTAAAGAACATATAGATACTTCCTTATCGTCTTCTGAAATAGTTCATATATAAGCTCAAGGCAAACTGGAAATATTGACAGCTGGAAGGGTGAGCAGATTTCCCGATAATTCGAAAGCATGTTGAAATAGTTGGACAGTGCCACAGCCGATGCCTTCCGTTGCAGGAATTCATATCGTGTCAATGGCAGGTGATCGTGGGCACACGTTAATCTCCTAGTCACACTTCTCGCTTGCATGGCGAGGGTCTGAGTGTTTGCTGAGACATGGCCAATAACTTCAGATCACTTTCAGTGCGCCCACTCTTGACACGCACAGTGTATTTCTTTCTCTCATTGTCCAACGTCTAGCTAACAGGGGAAAGGTCCACAGACAGTCTCTCACAATGCCGAGTTGACTTGTTTCAACATGTGCACGGCTGTCATTTGACCTGCATATTTCCCGATTCTGTGACCATATGTGCCACCAAGTTGGGAGACTGATTGGTCGATTGATTGGTTGGGGGGTTTGTTTCTTGTTCTTGGTTAGGCAAGTGCGTGCGTGCGTGCGTGCGTGCGTGCGTGCGTGCGTGCCTGTGAGTGAGTGAAAAAGCAAGCGCGCGTGGGTGCGTGCTTGCGTGTGTGAGTGAGTGAGTGAGTGAAAAAGCGAGCGCGCGTGGGTGCGTGCTTGCGTGTGTGAGTGAGTGAGTGAGTGAGTGCGTGCGTGAGTGAGTGAGTGAGTGAAATAAGCCGGTCTCTTGACTGCACCAATGGAAACGAGTTTGGGGCCGGCGTAAACTAACTATCTGAACAAATCTTTTATTACACATTAACTTATTGTTCTAACCACTTCTAAATGTTTCATATAGATAGCTCGACTTTCCAACTTCTATAACTGAGATTAGTTTGAAATGAATCATATCACCTATTCAGCAGTCATGGCAACCAAAATTAGATTCCAACAAGCGATCATCGGATCTTCCTAAAACCATCACCACCGCGTCTCTCACAAAAGGAGAAGAAAAACTGAAACGTCACGTGACCCAAACATGAATAAACGGGCGAGGCCACTTTTAGCAATATTTCTGCAATAGCTCGATTGCTAGACGCCATGAGGCTGTCCCCCATCTTTTTTGCGAAATTCGGGGTCGATTTAGAGAGTATTCGAGACTTCGGTACGCCTGTTGCAAATAAAATCGTAGTTGTATTCAACATTTAAAATGATGTACGAAAAACGTTTTTGATATAATTCATTTTGTATGTATTTTATCAGTCATTTACCATCAAACTGCGCCATTTATCAGTGCCTTTGAGACTTGTGTGAAGTACTATTCGGAAATGAACTAAATGAACTAAATAGTGAAAATTTAGATGTATTCGGTATTGAGTGAGTGAGTGAGTTCAGTTTTACGCCGCACTCATCAATGTTACAGCTATATGGCGGCGGTCTGTAGTAGTCGGTTTCGAATGGGGATGCGAGGGGCATTGGTACCATCACTGTTGATCTTCAGACGATTCTCCCATGTGGGGCATCAAACATGATGTATCCTTGTGGAGTATCAAACATGATGTATCTCTGTGCTGTACTATAAACCCAATTTACAAGACATTGCAATGGCCGGCCTAGTAAACTTTGAGTACTGTAACACTATTAGTGCTGTGATAAGGTCACACTTGTGGTTTATATGAGCAAAGTGCTCTCGGTTCCCTGGGGGAGTTTCATATCTGTCTGTATACTGTTGCTACAATATATCTGATGCTGATACTCCCAGAAGGTTGGACTGACTCTAAATGTTCCTGAATTGTTCTCGGGACACAACGCCATTGAGGGGTTACCGTGTCGGGATAGCCTCCTGGTTCCACATGCTAGTCATACGAACGGATGACATTATGGATCCAATGGTCAATGTATTGGCTGATTGACGTTTGCGTTGTTCAGGCGTTCAGTCACTGGTTTGTCTGGCCCGTGATCCACTAGTTGTCGCTGGACGTGGTATAGCCGGAATAATATTAAAGCAACGTAAAATAATATTCACTGACTCACGTCAGCTGAATTCTAACTAGAATAAGTGGGTGAGTGAGTGAGTGAGTGAGTGAGTGAGTGAGTGAGTGAGCGAGTATGGATTAAGACCGACTTTACAAATATCCAGCTATATATCACCATAAGAAAAATAAATGGGTTTTATACAGTGTACCCACGCGGGGAATCGGACCTGTTCCTCGAGTGAGTGAGTGAGTGAGTGGGTTTACGCCGCTTTTATCAGTATTCAGTGTCCGGGAATCGAATCCGGCCCTTCTGCGTGGGGACGAACACTTTAACGACTAGCCTAACCCACCGCCCCTTACGGTAATAAAAAACAACATGAAAACATATTAGAAAAACAAAATTAACATTCAATTCATTCTTAGTTCACAAGAACCTTCCAAGAATGGAAGACGAGACATTTCAAGAATGTTAAGAAGGAGGATGTGTTGAATGTGTGGCAAGTCTCTAAAGCTAATTTGACAGTTGCGTCTCTTGGCCATTGTGCAGAGCACAAGCATATGCAAGTATATAAACAATACTGTGTATTCATAACCGATATAATCAGCCCCGAGTACGTGATAACCAGCGCAGAAGACTCGGGGGGAATGTGGAGGAAGGCGTTTAAATTAATTGCCATTGAAAACCATTCCACCATGTGCCAAACTCTGAACCAACTGTTACAGAACATTCACCAAGCCAGCAAACATTTAATTGATACTAGTATTTAGAAATTGTATGGAAAAAGGATTTTTTTAGCATCAAGTAGTACATTCTTATAATAAAACTTACAATCTGACATTTAAATAATATTTAAATAATGTATGCAAAAAGGATATTTTTAGCATTAAGTTGTACATTCTTATTATAACGCGTTATCTCCATCTTCATGAACGACTGTTACCATTGATGCCTTGTTGTAATGCATACAGTAATGTGTTGCTGTATTGGGGTGGTATGAACCGCTGTGGTATCCTGGTATTAATGGGTATACATTACTGTATGAGTGAGTGAGTTTAGTTTTACGCCGCTTTTAGCAATATTCCAGCAATATCACGGCGGGGACACGGCAAATGGGCTTCAGACATTGTACCCATGTGGGGAATCGAACCCGGGTCTTCGGCGTGACGAGCGAACGCTTTAACCACTAGGCTACCCACCGTCCATCAATTCCTGTATGGCTGTATCATGTTATCATATGAATGTGTGATACTTGATATGTTATACTGCATTGCTATACCATATAGTAATAATAATAACAATAACCATTATAAAGCGCCTGTTTTCAGACATTTGTGCATGCTAAAAGCGCTAACACATTATTACCCCGGACAACTCAAGCTGTCTGTTAGGCGCTAGAAGGTTATAGTTACATGACATATCCCACCGGGTACCCATTTTCTGCTGGGTGAAGAGGCAATCTTGAACAAACTCACCTGCCTAAGGTGAGGCCACATGTATCGCATGTGCTTTGTTCTGCGTTTCTGTGGCATGATCTGCTGTGTGGACTTGCTGTAAAGGTCTGCATTGTTATGCTCCCATGCTATATATTGCTTCATTGTTGTGCTGCCACAAACTGTTGTGCTCTGTTGTGTTATATCTATAGTGCTGTATTAATATGTTGTGATCTATTGTATAGCATTGTTGTGTGATACATTAATCTGACGTCGTGTCATGTAGTAATGCTGCATAGCATCGCAGTGGAGTGTTGTACCGTAACTGTTTCGTTGTTGTACCGTAACTGCTTCGTTGTTGTGCCGTAACTGCTTCGTTGTTGTGCCGTAACTGCTTCGTTGTTGTGCCGTAACCGCTTCGTTGTTGTGCCGTAACTGCTTTGTTGTTGTGCCGCAACTGCTTCGTTGTTGTACCGTAACTGTTGAGTTGTTGTACCGTAACTGCTTCGTTGTTGTACTGCTTCCTTATTGTGCGGTCTATGGGTCGTGTAGCTAAGCCTACTGTAATGCCTTACTATGCTCCATCATAATGTATAGTTGTGTTGCTATGCTCTGTTGCACTGCATTTGTGTTTTGCTATGTTCTGACGTGCTGCATTTCTGTGTTGCTATGCTCTGTTGTACTGCATGTTTCTGTTGCTGTAACTTGCTATGCTCTATTTCTGCGTTGTCATGTTAAACTGTACTACATTTTTGAGTTGCTATGTTTTGTTGTACAACATTTCTGTGTTGCTATGCTCTGTTGTACTGCATGTTTCTGTTGCTATAACTTGCTATGCTCTATTGTATATCATCTCTGCGTTGTCATGTTAAACTGTACTGCATTTTTGAGTTGCTATGTTTTGTTGTACAACATTTCTGTGTTGCTATGCTCTGTTGTACTGCATGTTTCTGTTGCTATGCTCTATTGTATATCATTTCTGCATTGTCATGTTAAACTGTACTGAATTTTTTAGTTACAATACTCTGTTGTACAACATTACTGTGTTGCTATGTCCTGTTTACTGCTACTCTGTGATACAATACTCTGTTGTACTGCATTCTTTTGTTGCTGTTCTGTTGTACTGACTGACTGTTCTGTTGTAGTACATTGTTGGGTTGCTATGTTCTGTTGTAGTACATTGTTGTGTTACTATGCTCTGTTGTACTGTATTTTGTGTTGATATGTTCTGTTGTAGTACATTGTTGGGTTGCTATGTTCTGTTATAGTACATTGTGGTGTTGCTATGTTCTGTTGTAGTACATTGTGGTGTTGCTATGTTCTGTTGTAGTACATTGTGGTGTTGCTATGTTCTGTTATAGTACATTGTGGTGTTGCTCTGTTGTATTATATTATATTGTGGTGTTGCTATGTTCTGTTGTAGTACATTGTGGTGTTGCTATGTTCTGTTGTAGTACATTGTGGTGTTGCTATGTTCTGTTGTGGTGTTGCTATGTTGTGTTGTAGTACATTGTGGTGTTGCTATGTTCTGTTATAGTACAGTTTGGTGTTGCTTTGTTCTGTTATAGTACATTGTTGTGTTCTATTGGCTATTGTATTGCAATTCTGTGTTGCAATACTATGTTATAGTGCATTTTGCAATGCTATGCTCAGCTGTACTGCATGTTTGTGTTGCTATGCTTTGTTTTGTGCATATTGCGTTGCTGTGCTCTGTTGTATTGCATTTTTGTTTTACTTCGTTGTGTTGCTATGCTTCAAATAAGAGTTTGCAATTAAAGTTAAACTATTTGAATCAAATATGCTAATTTCATAAAGTGAAGTTTAACTTTAAGTCATTATTACAATCTACTTTGCTGCGGGCCCTGTTAAAGTGTGCTTCATCTGTATTATCGTGTAAATATATATCACGAGATTTTTTGTTTACACATCAACAGGGATAGTTTATGTTTTTATCTGACACCCAGCCCCACAAGTCAAGGCCATTTCCGAGATACAATTTCAAACAATTTCCACCACGTGCCTTTTTTGCACTCGCTATATTTTATCATGATACATCGCAATTCACACGGTAATTTGGCGTGTCGTAACAAAGCTATTCGTCTTCCGGCAAAAACACCCCAAAAGACATATCTAATGACACAGAAATATGACATGAATTTTTTATAATAATCAAATCAGGAATATTCATCGCGAGAAGTACTTGCCAATTACAAAATGTATGGTGTGATTGATGCATATGAAGATAGACGCCATCTTTGTAATTACTACCGCCATCAACTGTCACATCGGTTACAATTGCCTTTAAGCCTGGCAGGATAATGAAAACACACTGCTCAGGGGAAATCATACTGATAATCAGATTTCAATCTATTTGAACATAAACCCTTGTCAAATATAATCTGCTACACACACATTACATACGAACTTATCCATCAGTAGCGCTCGTGATGAAAGCAATCATTCCGAGTTCGTTTTAACTATGTGCAAACTTTTCGAGCAAACAGAAACTTACCTTTCGGCAAATGCACGCACCATCATGTCATCCTCCGCAAAGGCTGGTGAAATTTTGGCGACACATATTAAAGCCAGGACTGTGATACTTGAAATACAAATCGTGGAATGGAGGCTTTTTAGCCCAAAGGCAACTGAAACGAAACGAAACAGAGATGCCATGTGCACATGAGTAGGTTTGATTAGACGGCGCTTTAAACAGTATCAAAGGGATATACACGTCTACTTGTCAGATAGTCCGAGACTTGAAAAAATGAAGACGGACAAGTTATTTTGTTCTTTCAATTAGCTCATTTGACATAAGCACTTGTTCGAAACGAGTTGTAGACGTGTTAAGAATGAATTTGGATTAACGTTGGATTAAGCAAAATTAAAGTTTATCTCGGTACATCACAAAATCGGTTTCAAACATTACACCAATGTGGGAAATCGAACCCGGACTAGTTGGATATGATCAATGGTAAACTTATGTCTACCCTAGTTTCAGTTAAATCAAGGCGTGTCAGGAGAGAGAGGAATGTAAGGAATAGATGATGTTAACTGAAGTGAAACCAACGGCCACGTGATGATGGTAAAACACAGAAAGCGAACACGGTAGGTTTTAGTTTTGAGTTAGTGAGTGAGTGAGTGTAGTTTTACGCCGCTTTTAGCAATATTCCAGCAATATCACTGCGGGGGACACCAGAAATGGGCTTCACACATTGTACCCATGTGCGGAATCGAACCCGGGTCTTCGGCGTGACGAGCGAACGCTTTGACCACTAGGCTACCCCACCGCCCCTTTAGTTTTGAGGTAGGGGTGGGGGTGGTAACAGGAAATAATCGGAAAAAGGGTCACCAAAAATGGGAGGGTTGTAGAAAGTTGTTTTGGTTGGTTGGTTTGTTGTTTAACGCCGCATTCAGCAATATTCCAGCTATAATTGTAAATAATCGAGTCTGGAACAGACAATCCAGTGATCAACATCATGAGCATCGGTCTACGCAATTGCGATACGATGACGTGTCAACCAGGTCAGCGAGCCTGACCACCCGATCCCGTTAGTCGCCTCTTACGACGAGCATGGGTTGCTGAAGATCAATTCAAACCAGGATCTTCACGGGTCATAAAAAGTTGTACACATATTTGGTTTGGATCATTCTGAAAAGATTGACATTTCATGAAAAAAAATGTTTTATTGCATTTTGTCTTTGGAGAGTAGTGAAAAAACCCATGGGGAGGGACATCCAGAAACATGGGTAGGGTTAGTATCTTCAGTACATTCGGGCATCAAAACCTCTGACCCCCAAATTACGTAACATTCGCGTTGAAGACAAAGTCAGAGAATGTGTTCAAGTAGGTACTTTGATAAACATTTCGTGTCTCATTGACTTGTAATAATAATATAGAATAAAATGTTGTGTGAAATGAAGGAAACAACTGATTTTTCTTTCTGACATGAAAACTCGCCACAGTGTTACGTAACCGAAACTGCGTAATTGACTCTTACTCTCACATGCTGTGGATTACAAATATTATCAACAAATAGCAAATAGATTGGGGATGAAGGAGGTCTCCAGTTTGAGCTGTAACAATCTCTGTCAGTTATATATGGGCATAAAGCAGCCCACTTACTGGCGTAAAACGCCCACCTATTGGCATAAAAAATGGCCCACCTATTGGCAATACAAGTACAAAATATTTATTGCTGCTATCAAAGCGTGTGCAAAATGAGAAGTGGAACTTATTAAATGTATTTTGGAGTGGCTTAAGTAAGAGCGTGATTTTGTCATTGGTGGAACTCACAAATTGTGTTTATTCATAAAACAATATGTGAGTGAGTGAGATTAGATTAGTTTTATGCCGCTTTCAGCAATATCACGCTCGGAAACACCAGAAATGGGCTTCACACCGGGTCGTGACGGACGAACGCTTTAACCACTAGCCCCCCCCAACAATATGTGAAGCCTGGGGACTGGGCATAAAGCAAGAAGGAGACCCACTTGTGTTCACAGCCTTGTTGATCTAATTCTTTGTGCATAATATAAATATGTTGTTTTCCCCGCGAGGAAATCAAAGCATGGGAATTCGATCAAGTCGTTTAACCAAATCTTTACAGTTAATTATATGTACAGTAAACTACGGTTATGTCGAAGGGATTACTAATCTCAGTTCGTTACAACCGTAGTTCGTCTTATGCATCTCTACTAAAATATGCATCTCAACTAAAATATACTGAGACAAACAAGCATACATATATTATTAACTGACGTTACCAGCTCCACAGAAATAACCTTGTACGCGCGTTATGTATTTCTGTGATCAAGATTTACACTTTCTCCGCTGTCGGTTAATCGGTTTATGGAAAGGGCATTTTAGGTTAGAAAACTTGAAAAACATAATCCATTTGATCTTTTATTGCCAATAAAATATATTCACACATTTCATTAAAAACTTCAGAATATTGCGAAAGTCGTTTTTGCTTTTTTAACGAACAGTGTTCCACCTACTCCATAAATTGGTGTCCGCGTTGAGGAATTGAGTGTCTTTTGAGGAATGGTGTTTTTTGTAGATTCCAAAATGTATCATATGACTTTTGTTCACATAGTTGTATCACCATAGATGAGTGAGTGTGTGAGTGAGTGAGTTTTACGCCGCACTCTGCAATATTCCAGCTATATGTAGGTGGTCAGTAAATAATCGAGTCTGGACCAGACAATCCAGTGATCAACGGCATGGGTTACTGAAGATCAATTCTATCCCGGATCTCCACGGGTCGAGTCATAACCAAAGCTAATAATTAAGTTGGAATCGGGAGAGGATCATGAACCGTATTATGTCTGTATAATTACACCCACAAGAGTGATTGGATTTCATCATGATGATGTGTTATCGGTGTTTAAGCTTCTAAAACGCACCGGCGCCAGATTAACGACTATTAAAGTAATCGTAAATAGATTTTATGTCAACATGTATGTAGGAAATTGTATCTGATTACGAAAGCTAATATCATGTTCGTACCACACATACACATATTCCTTATAACTTTGATTAGACAAAAATAACACAGAAACCAGATCTGAGCGGCTTAGCGTCATGAAACACGACCACACAGCATGGGTATTATGCTCTGTCACGTGTAAGAGTAATTAAGTGCTCTGTTTGCTGCTTTTAGCAGTATTGCCACAATACAACTGGGAACACAACAACGGGTTTCACATATGGGAATCGAACCGGGTCTTAGTCGTGACGAGCGAACACTTTAACCACTAGGCTACCCCTCACCCTCACATAGAAGAGGAAGTACATGGAAAAATACATTATTGTAATATTATCTGTTTAAACAAACCCCGTCATCCAACTTCAGTAGTCTAACAAAATTGCCAGTGCAACATGAGGAACTTATATGACGAGTAAATTAAAATATTAATAACCTAGTAGGTGTCTGGTCAAGATAATCAATATGTCATCAAATGTCCTTTGGTACACATTGGACACAATTTTCTTAATGATAAAAAAGTTAATTCATTTTTCTATTGTCACAAATTATAAGAGTTACAGGTGACAAGTGCAATGTCATTTTAAAATATACAGATGAAAATATGAATTAACAATTAACATCCATGATATTTCACCATACCCCATAAAAATTCTGGGAATATTATGCTTATATAATAAGATATATGTCTGTATTATAAACGTATGCGTTTAAATTTCTTTGAAAGGATAAACTTTGTATCATATACGAATTTCAATAAATTAAAAGAATGCATTAAACAGTTTACGTAAACAAATATCTTCAAAATATACGTATACATAATACCTATTCTGACAGCAATACACTTAAAAGATGGACACCTTTCATATATATTAAGCATAATTCAGAACCACAAGATCAAAATGTATATTGTCATTTTAATAGATATATTTTTCAGATTTAATGCAATTCAAATAATAAATACATAATATCCACTTTAAGATCTAATGCAACCATGAAAGGTGATAAAGATTTGTAATAAGAGTATCTCAGTTCTAGAGACAAAGTAGAGACGTACCTTTCCTAACTTTCGGCAGAGACATCTCCCCAAGCTGTCAACTGTATATAGCACCTGCTTTCCTGTCATCAACTCTCCTGATGTTTACGAGTCAATGACAGTGGGAACCGCATGCCTACGATCATTTCAAACGCTCGCTTCCTCACTCCAACGCGGATGATAGAAATTAACCAAGTATTCAATAGCACGACTTTAACAATCCTTCAAGTATTACATTTTCATGTTGAAAGCTCAACTGAATACGTGGCAGGCTTAAGGCCGTATATATGGTTACAGTACCGCCTTCAAAATTGTGACGTTTTCACATAAGCGTGTTGTAGCAGCGTGAGAGATCTTAAAGACATACCAGATCGTCATCAACTGAAGGGTATGACAGAAAACTGTTGCTCATCGGCTTAGCAAGCCCGCTACTCAAGTGTACTGAGAAATAGCATGGTGTGTTATTACACCGTTCTTGAAGGGGGGAAGGTGCCTGCGGCTCTACCAATCTGTAAAGGCGATGGTATTAGTGGGAATTAATATCACTCTCAGACGTTACAAAGCGGCAAGCCTGTATTAGGGAGGTGGGCCAGACGGTGCACCCATGAACTCCAGCGACTGGCCAATACGTTTGTATCTGGGGATTGCGTTTAAAACACTTCACTGTATTCGTAAAGCATCATCTCTGTTCATTTCGGTGGCAGAATCTTTACGTATGTAGTTATTAAGAATAGATATATTTATAGGCGAAAGTATTTTTGAATTGGCAATTAGTTTTGTAACTTGAGGAATTGAGACATTTATTTCAGAATGACACTAACGTCATGCCGTTAAGGACTTCAAGCGTTGCTTAGTGGCCTTACGAAACTAAAATACCTATAATAGTTATATTTTGACGTCATTCCCTGAGATATACCACTTAGCTTGTCATTGATGTGAAGATATGTCCTATAATGAAGTATCCAACGTAAGCATATGGGGCGGACATGACTTCGCTGTAATTGCTGTCGAAGACATTTTGAATACTTGTCCAATTGCGGTCATATATCAGAACTTTAATCCAATTACTCCTCCAATGCCGATCTGAAATGGCTATTTTCAAACATGATTTGTGATACCATCAAACAAAACTAAAATTGATCAGCGTCGTGTTTTGTCATTTAAACTAATTTTCCAATCCTTTTAACAACGGTGGCTTAACCTTTGAATTTATAATGAAAATATTTCTAAAGATATCTTATGGTATAAATTTTACCATAACCACAACGAGTAATTCCTTTATTCCAAAATAACATCAGCTAACTAATTCGAATTACCATTTTGTGTCGAGTTTCAATCACCTGCGACAGTATTAGGCGATGGTTTGGGTTTCCTCCGTTCATATGTTTCATAACAACGCTAGTGAGTCAGCTTCCGATAAGCATCACAACCGAAAGCTTGTTTTTCATCAGATACCACATCAGAAACAAGGAAGGTATTTAATTATGACACGTTGAAAAAATTCATATGTCTCCGAGGATGACAGTCGTGAATAGAAGCTGTGCACTTACAAATTAAATTTTCAAAATATATTTGACAGATGAATATTTCATGAACAATGAAATGTCTTTTTGATTTAAAAATATATATGTCACTGTCGTATACACAAATGGTTTTGAAAGTTAATGATGGTAAACACGTAGCAAGAAGATTTGTCAAAAGAAATACCACATTTTAAAAATGACAGACTTTGCTTTTATTGCTGTTGGAATAGGATTTTTTTAGCTACGAATGGACAATTGGCCCAGGCACTTAAGAGAACCGGATACATTCAACAGAATCTTATCCGTAATTAACTGTTATACAACATTGATTCTTTCAGTACAAGTTAAATTCTATATATTTAGCTTTATCATCAAATAATTATATATTTCGTTTTTCTTATATGTTTGATATACATTAGCGTTACGGTTGTCGCCATATGTGTTTTCAGTTCCAATAAATAGCTTCTTAAGTAAAAATAAAGTACAAAATCATCTTCATACTGGCAAGAATTCTCTGTGAAAAACGTCATTTCCGACTGTACCATCAGCACGCGTATGAACCAATGTCAGTTTGTGACGATACCATGTGTTTACTAAACGGTGAGCGGATCCTGGATTTCACATGGCACATCACAAAACACAAGCAACGTCATTATTTTGGTAACTGAGATTGGGAAATGTATTTCTCATAAAAACCTTTCGTCAACATTCCTGTGGCATAAAATGTTATAACCCTGGTTCAACAAATTTTAGGGATAAGCCATAAGACACTCATTGAAATGATATTTGAAAGAACTTACTCGATTGTACACCTACGTTTTGAAATGCAATCACCCTATATACTGGAAAGCTTCATATAAATCGATGGTCTAGTCGTGATTCGAATAAGAATATGATTCCGGGTTTTCCAGCACCACACAAAAGATCGTGAGCTCCATGAGCATGTTCGACCTGCATTACTTTGAAAAGCCTACGATGTTCAAGCATTATAATGAACTCACTCACTAAATATAACTTAAATCCAAAATGCTCTTATTCAGCATTTAAAGGAAAGTCAAGCAAGTTAAGGGTCTCTCACTGTCCGGCAGCGCGTCTGTTGCCATACCGTATGTCCATCAAGGCACCGTCGGTGATGCTTGTGATGCTGGTAACGAGATACGGTGCCACCTACACTACCTGATCTACAGTCAGCAAAATACTCGATGTACATATAGAGATCCTTCACGTCAGTCAAGGGCAGCAATAAGCCATGGCGTACATCTGTGAGGACACGGGGGCTCCTTGAAGTGACCATCCTTCACCGAGGGGGTTTTACTTGACATTAATATGAGCTCACCCTATCCATATTTTAACAAGACATTTCCTGTTCTCAAGGTCGAGAAAATGAACCCATATGGTCATCCTGATTGCAGTCATCGATTGATTTTCATAATCGAAATAAAATTGTCTCGTTTTGCAGCTGGACATGGCGATCTTGACGTGTTGATTTCACGACGCGATGGCGCAAGACCGGAACAACGGGACATAATTGATACTTTAGTGGATTCTATTTCCACGCTGTCTGCTGTAAGAGGCAGTGGCCCATATGGCCGTGCAGCGTTTAAAGGCAGACAAGGCTTCGACCATATTTTATTTCCAGTAACACTGGTTCAAGTGGGTCACGACTTTGACTGCATGTTTAAATCCATGATGACTATTTTTAAGAATGAAACATTTAATTACACAGTCGCACACAGGCAGCTGTGCAGCCATACTCATTGCAGTCTGAAGGTAAAATCATTGGAAATTGTTTTAACTGAAAACTGATTTTACGTCGACTGATCATGGGCAATCTAAAGTAGTTATACACTTTGGATAAATAAAATTGATATACATTTAACGACATTATGTCACTGCAAGAAATATTTCGATTTGTGCAGTATAATATTATTCTTGCTACATTGGGTTTGAATCCAATACCCACGCGTTCGATTCCTCGTTTCATACCACCTGAAGTGTACATGTCTAACGCTAGCGTTACGTCGGGTCCTTAAATGACCGAAATGGTTTTCTTCAAAGCGGCGGAAAGTTTATGTCGACTGACTAGCTATGGGAAATCTTAAGTAGTTCTACACATTGGATATGTGAAGTGGATATATACATTAAAGACATTATGTCACTGAAATAAATATTACGATTTGTGCAGTATATTCTTGCTACATTCCTGGGTTTGAATCCAATACCCACGCGTTGGATTCTTCGTTTCATACCACCCGAAGTGTACATGTTAACGTTTGCGTTAGGTCGGGTCGTAAATGACCGAAATGGTTTTGAAACCGTCGTTAAACCAATCATTCACTGTCAATCGTCATGTCTCCGTCGGTGCCAAGGCCACGGAACCATCAAGGAAGCATGGAGTCAACTGATACCAGCAATCCATCGACTGCGCAAACAGGAAATGCGTTATGGTCTATTTTCATTAATTGTTTTCTTTGTTTCCCAGTATCAGTCACTAAACACAGACAGTATATTATCAGTGCAGGACCGGTTTGCTGTGTTGCCTGGGAATACCTAAAAACTGCCGACCAAGCATAATACTGACTTGGGATGACACATCCCCTATAAAAAAGACATTGCAGTTTGTCTAAAATGACAAACAACAGTATCCATTACTGAAACCATGACATTCTTTGTCTTCTCCAATAAATCTTGAAGACTTATATGGCTACTCATTACACATGAATGTGTGTGAGATGCGGTGGGGTAGCCTTATGGTTAAAGCGTTGGCTCGTCTCGCCGAAGACCCGGGTTCTATCCCTCACATGGGTACAATGTGTGAAGCCCATTTTTGGTTTCCCCCGCCGTGATATTGCTGGAGTATTGCTAAAAGCGGCATAAAATCATACTCACTCACTCACTCACTCACATGTGAATGTGAAGCATATATAGAGGTAGGCCAGGTTCCACAAATCTATCTTAGCGCAACGTTCGCCGTAATTGTATGTTACAGTCACTTAGCGCTAAGATCGCTTTGTGAAACGGAACGAAGAAAACTGAGTTTTCTCGCTTTATGTTAAACCGCCAAGTCTCTACCCCCTTACTCTACCAATCAATCATCAATCAATCAATCAATCAATCATTATTTCAAAATTTAGGGCCGCGTTTGCTCAGTTTAGATATTTTTCACACCGGCTTCGAATTGAAACTGGCTGATGTGTTAATGAACCTAAAGTTGATAGATTATGCCTTGTATGCAAATAACGATATGTTGAAGACGAATACCATCTTTATCAGTATGTACTGTATACCAAGATCTAAGGTTTCTACTTTTACCAAAGACCTACTATCTGAATCCTACTGTACATAAATTTAACATGTTAATGTCAGATGTAAATCCAGAAACTGTAAAAAATCTAGCAGTGCATGTACATAATGTTATGCGACTTAGACAGTCATTGTACATAACCGAACCGTATGTTATAGTTTATACTGTATATACTCTTTCACAGTCAGTTGTAAATGTAGAATGGGCCTGTGGCCTCCACTACAAGATATACAGATTGATTGATTACTCTACCTGTAGATTAGAGAAGGTAAAGTTCGCTTAAAATGAATACGCTTATAACGAACCGTCGGATATAACGAACATTTTTACATGCTTACGAACTTGCTGTATTTTACAGTCGAAATGCATGTGACAAACTGGGTTTATAACGAACTAGAATTAATGGTCCATTTGAGTTCGTTATAACCGTATTTAGAGTTCGTTATAACCGTATTTAGAGTTCGTTATAACCGTATTTAGAGTTCGTTATAACCGTAGTTAGAGTTCGTAATG